TTTGACATAGGGTGTAGGTTAAAGACCTCTGTTCACAGACCCTTGATCACCCTGGAAGGAAAGGAAAAGGGGCATTACAAACATAACCTCCTCTGTCCCCATTTACAAAACGGGAATGCTGAAGTCAAGTAGCAAGTTGTACATCCCAAGTACCAGTGGTGAAGTACTGCGCCATGCTTACCGTAACAGATGGAGGGGCTCTAAAAGTAGCAGCAGCAGCTACGTGATTAATGGATTCTGCTAATCAACAGTCTGCGGGTTCCTTCATGGGAAACTTGTTCCCTAGTAGTACTTATATGCAAAGTATTATTTTTATCCATTAAAAACAAATGCTTTTAAAAGTTGAAGCAATTATGAATTCCAAAGGTTGTGTCTCTCACCATTTCAACTACATTTACAAGGGTACATATAAGGGTACTGAAGGAAAACATCAAATGAATTTAGTTTCTCCTCAGAGGCACGTCTTTTAAGCGTAACACAGAAAACCCCCACTTTTTTTACTTTAACTTCTTAGAAATGTCCTTGTTCTTTTTCTTTTCAGCCTACTAATGTTCGTGCTGCACATAATTATGGTGACTTGGATCCATTTAAATTTCGTTGGCTGATTCCTTTATCTGCTCTTCAAGTTCGACTGGGGAACACAGCAGGTAATTCCCTTGCACTGAATACATCAAGATTGAACGCTTTTCTGGGACTCTGTAATACTGCTTCTTCCATAGGTGTTTCTGGAGCCTCTGGAAACAGGCAGGTGTAGAGAAAAGGGTATCTACTGTTGTCTGTACACTTAGGGGTACAGGCTTGACACATTAACAGACTTTCTTTAATTGGTATGTTGGCTTCTTCCATGAGTTCAGGAAGATGCAACATGACGTGAAGGAAGGACAGAATGGAAATCCCCAATGAAAAGATACCATGAACAGGAAGGCGATTTACCATGGTTGACGTCCTGGTGATGCCCATATGCTGTGTATGTGCTGACCCTCGTGTTTTTCCAAATGCGGGAAAGCTGACTGTGCAATTTGTGGTAGTAGAGGGCTGTGTTTTTATTTTCCCTTTGAGCTGATCTTTATGATCCTATCTAGTTCTGTATCTTCTGTAAAGTGTCACTAGGTGTTTCGAGTAAATAAATGCTTAGTGCACCTAGGAGAAGGTTTTTTAAGGCTAGAAGGCAGTGAGAAGCAATAAGAATAGGGAAAGCAACTCTCCAAGACAGAAGTTATCAAAGGCAGCGCTGGGCTGCCGCAACAGCAGAGTTCTGGGGACTCTCCCTTGGGTTCCATCTCGGGTGACATCTTCTGTGGATCCAGCCATGGCTATGTTAACACCACCTTCAGGAGTGGAGGAGCTCTACGCTGGTCTTTCTAATGGCGAAGGTTTTGTGAAGCATATACAAAAATGACGTTTCCTTCCATGCACAGGAACAGAGAACAGCTGTATCTGGGAACTGATTCACACGAAGTCAGAACTAGAAGGGAGGCCAGAAACAATTTTTCAGTTGTGCAGCAGGTAAGCTTTCCGTGGAAGTTGTATTTGACAAATCACATTAATGGAATTAAAAACAGGAAAGATTTTCCCCTCTGTGACCTTTGCATCAGCACTTCTAATGCAGCTCTCACTCTTTGAATCCAGGCACTATGCCAGTGTTCAACTGCATAAAGTATGACAATTTTAAATGGGAGTGAATTCGGCGCAGTGATCCAACATCGGAAGTCTGCACAGACATATAATCATAAGTTCCAGTACAATAATGGGCAAAGTAACTGATTTTATCAGACTCTCAGCTGGTTAGCAGAAATTATTTCTGATAAAGACCACTTAAGGGGTGATCCCTTGGTACAGAAGTTACCTTTCGGGCAGTTTTTCTAAGGGAAAGTAACCAAAATCTCAAAACACAAAGTGTGTGAAATGCCTAGCAACACATAAAAATGTTAGCTGCGAAACGACTACTAAAGCAAGCTACTGGAAGAAACCCCACTGCACTAAAACGCATCAGCAGAAAGGATGTGGGCAGATTTTATCCCAATAGTGTCTTACTTCAGAGGGGAAAATTAGGTTATGTTTTCTTAAACTTGCAGTGACTGTGAGAACAAGACTAACATAGTGAAGGTGATCCGTTCTATTTTGCGGGAGAATTTCAGACGTCACATAAAATGTGAGCTACCACTGGAGAAAACATGTAAAGATCGCCTCATCCCACTCAAGAACCGTGTCCCTGCAACAGCCAAACTGGGTAAGAAACATGTTCTCAAAGGGAAAAACACAGCCTGGGCTCCAGCGCTGGCAGAAGGTTCGCAGCTGCTACCATGAGTGTAGCGCGTCGTGTGCCAGGCCCACAAATCCGATTTCTTTTTTGGGCTGGGGAGGTGGTAGAGTTTCTCTGCAACTCAGTGCATGACAAGGCCTAGAGCAGATAAGCAAGTGTGCCACATGCACACACACACACACACACCCTGCCCTGTGATGTGTCCTTAGCTGTCTTAAAGGAAGACTTGGTAAGGCCCAAATTTATTTTGCTGGGAAGAAACAGACTCCCTTTGGCATACAGTATTAGTGTTCTCTCCTCTGGGTTCCCTTTAGTAACTCAGCCCTAATAACACTTTAAGGTAGAACAACTGGCAAAAGGCAGGAGTCTTGCTGCTTTCGGTGCACTAAATCTGCCTCCAAGCAGATACCCTAATTAGGTACAGGCCTCAGACGTTTAGTTAAACGGAGTAGCTACTAATATTTCAAGTTCTCCATCTGTAAGATCCCCTTAACATCACAGGAACTGGGACAGTTCAACTCCCGCCTACAACTTGGGCCCTCCAGTGCTTGAGGTGCCCAAATAAGTCAGTCTTGCTTTCCCGCAGATGTGTGTAAATCATTACTACGTTTTGGAGGATTTTGTACATATTACATGTGAAGGCAAGCAGATGGCCCTGGGGTAGGTGGAATGAAAACTCTGAGACGGGATCGCACTGTCGGTATCAGAGTGCTGACACATCTGACCTGGCACGATTATCAAACGAGACTACGTACGCTGTAATTATAAGCAGGCTATCGAGAGAGATGGTATAACCAGCTGACGTTTTGCTGAAATAATAAACCTGCCTTTTTCCTCTGCACAGCTTCCACGAGGTCCTTGAAGGTACTGAAGAATTCATCCAGTAGCGAGTGGAACGGTGACCCGGGGAAAGGCACCTTCCAGGACTCTGATGAGTGCAGCCTGAGCAGCAGTACTCAGAGCAGCAGCTGCCACACGGCCGAGAGCATACAGGAGCCCAAAAATTCATCTCCTGATAAACACGTACAGAGCTGTGCATCTGACTTCTCCAATGTTCTTGTCAAAGAGTCTGATATTCTCAGTGATGATGATGACGATGATGACTATCAGAACCTAAAGAAGGGCAGCCCTACGAAAGACATTGAAATACAGTTCCAACGGCTGAAAATTTCAGAGGAACCAAGTCCTGACTCTGAACGGGATCAGGCTGCTGAAACTGAGGAAGGAGATGGCTTCGAGACAGGAGAGCATCCAAAGCTGGTGCGTGGCCATTTCTGCCCAGTGAAGAGAAAAGTAAACAGCACAAAGCGTAACAGAGGAACTTTAATGGCAATGCAAGAACGTCACCAGTCCCTTGACAGTCACTCTGATGTGGCAAATGTGGATCTGAACTCCATTTTAGAGAGAGAATTTAGCGTCCAGAGTTTAACATCTGTAGTTAATGAGGACTGTTTTTATGAAGTTGTGGAGAGGCATGGGAAATCCTAGCTTTCTAAGCACTATATTTAAAATATTGATTTGAAGTCCACATAGAATTCAAACAACTTATTTTGCTTTAAAACGAGTAAATTCATGGAAGCTGCAGGAAAACTACTATCTGATTTTGTGCACTAATACATTTTTTTTTTCCACAAAAACAGCTGTAAAGGAATCTTAAGTTATTTTAATTTATTGTGGATCAAAAATAGGTTAAGTTGGCCAAGGTCTGTAAATTAGTTCATCCCTTTCAAGCAGTTAAGATGATGTAGTGTTCTTGGGGAGGGGAAGGGAAAGATGGCCTCATTAGTATTTTAAGTAACGTGGAAAAGGTGCTACTGCGTGGCAGGGGGGATTACAATGGAAAGTAGCATTGCAAAATGAATTTTTCAATACCTTGGGCATTTTATTTCTTTGGTTTTCATTTTTGCTTTATTTAAAGCAGAATTAAGTTATTTTAATGTGTTTTAGTGCACAATAGTGCAGAAATTTCATTTTTGTAAGTTTCAAGACGCTGTTTATACTTTATACATATGTGTAAATACAAAAACAAAGCTTGGCCTGTAATCTTTTATTTGACTGTATTTTTTATTTTCTCTACCAGCCTGTACAGTAAAATAAGTATTGTACTTAGCCATGTTTTCTACTTTTTATCATGCTGCTTTTCTCTTGTTGGAGCTTTAAATCCCAAATTCTTTGCTTTTGCATAAGTGAGAAGAGTATTAGCAGACCTTGAGGCAATCTGTGCACTTTATCCTCCTTTAAGCCAGTCACTTGAGTGTATACAACAGTTTTTTGGCTTTTGTTTTTTAAATTACTCTGCACAGTAGGATGTTCCAGGATAAAAAGAGCACAAACCCCAACACCATCTTATGTGCTGAAGTATGAAAAGTATTTTTTCCTTGCGGTTCAATAATGCACTTTTATTCATACAAAACTCAACTCAATTATTTCAGAAGTATCCTAACTTCATTACATGTCTCACAACATACCTTGTTCGTAGTATGTGTTCTTGCCATTCCCCTGAAGTATAAAGAACCTGTAGGCATCTTGTAACTGGACTCTCTTTTCACTTTTGTCTGCAGCTGAATGGAATGAATAAACAAAATGGGAAAGTCCTCCCTCTCCACCACCTTCTCAAAAGTGCTTCTTCCATACCTGCACAGATATAGGAATATATAAGCCGCCTCTTACTGAATCAACACCTCTAGACCAAGGAGTTAAAACTAATAAAAAAATCAGTCTGCTGCAATTATAACTGTTACAGATGATTTTCCTCTTCAGTCTGTTCAGACTGACTGGTACTTTTACAAGAATTCCTCATCTTCCTTTGCCTTAACTCTTCTCTGTAATTGTACACAAAAAGGCTTGGGTCTTCATCGCACATTTTCCTGTATGTATTGCACAGATTTCTAAATTGTGACATGGAGAGCTGAGCAGGACGAAGAGTTGGATCAACATTTGCTGTCATCATCAGCTGTTCTGTTCTTTTCAAACGTCCACTTTCAGGAAACAAGGTCCTAAAAAGGAAAAACCAAATGCAAATAATTCGGACAGACAATTCGGTCTCCCTTAATATAACAGGTTCCTCTTGGGAATTTACTTAGTATAGGTTTACTATTCAGTATGTCATTATTTTAGCTCTGGCACTCTTAATATAGCTCATTATCTAAGCAAATGGAAACATGTAAGGGCTATTTTTCTGCAAATGCAAATTATGACAACAGAGGAAAGCATATGTGTAAATTGTACATTAAACACACCTATGTGTTTGTTCATGTTTGCTAACATTAAAAAAAGCTTTGGGTATGGATACAGTCACAGAGCCTTCTTAGAATTAGCCTCATATTTAGAGCACAACAACAGATTAAACTATGCAAAACAGATCAGATCCAAACCATATGACCTCCTTTCAGGCCAAGTGTTTCATTCCAAGGGGAAAGATACCATTACCACTTGTCATTATTACCTTAATTCTAATGCAGGAAAAAAAAAAAAAAGCAAGCAGAAGAAAGGAATATTTAATTATCATTCACTTTTTAATATTTAGAACTTGGAGAATGTGCCAGGTGTCTGTTTTCAGCTCTGTCACTGTTCATAGATAGTCACATCAGTGCATTTACTCTGTGGCCGGATGCGTTGACAACGCTTTCACAAGTTCCCTAATTTTTAATGAATAGTCTCACAAGAATGCGTACTATAAAGCACAAACTACTGAAAGGACGAGCTCCTATTAGCAGTAGTTCTCAGTCTACAATGGATCAGGAAGGCAGAAAATTTGCACACGGCTGATGTGCATGTCTCACTTTTCAAATGATCTACCTCCGTCATACATACATAAGACCTGCATCTAATGCAGCAGCACCCCCACACCCCCAGCTGTGTTTTGCAGGTTGGCTGGACAAGCTAGTCAAAAGGCTTTCCGTAAGTGATAGTTTGCTCTTGATGGGCAGACAGAATACAAAGTTAAGAAAGAGTTTAAAATGACAAAAGAAGGGTGGAACTTCTGGGAACAACCTAGTTTAAAGTATGTGCTACTCCAGGCCTTGGTCAAAAATGTCCCCGTTAGTTCAGCATCTAGGTCAGCAAGGGTAAAATGGATCAATCCTTATTTTGATATCCCTCCCTAAGTTATTCTCTTCTTTGATTGGGTAGTTAAAAGAAAGACATACCTGGAGCCAAAAATGTTTAGTCACCTTTTATATACAGACTATGAACCACCTTATAAATGTCCCATGAATACCAACTTGAACTACAGTATTTTTCTTCATGGACTTAACAGCTTAATCTTACATGCCCTGTCTCTCTCAGATCCCAGAATTCACAGACAAATGTAAACTGATTATATTGCCTTGTTTTTATACCATATATGCAATAGATGGACAGATATATACCTTATAGTGAACTTAATAGCCTTCTCATAACACCAAAATTTGCTAGTGTTTTTTTTTTGGTTTTTTTTTTTTTTTTCAGGCCAGCTAAAGAATAAGAGGATTGTGTTTCTTAGCTGTACAATAGGGCTAAAGTATGATAAGCTACTAGGGCAGACGTGATGTCCAGAAGTTCAGATTTCCCCCTCCTTGCCTCAGAAGACTGTAGAGCAGTTATTAGCAATTTGAGATTACACAGTAGGTTTTTTGTGTGGTTTGTTTTTTTTTTTTTAAACTTTGGCAAAAACATTGTACATATTGTAGATATGCGGATTGCACATGCCCTCTGCCTGCATTGTCAACTGAAACCAAAAAAAACCCACCACCCTGTAAATCAAATACAGATCAATCTACAGTTCAGATACCTCACTTTCTAACCACCTCCAAATGCATACTCAAACCTTAACACAGGCAAATCGTTACGCATCCACTGTCTGCATCCCAGACATTGATAGCATTCACTGCCACAAGCAAAAAAAAACCAACCCAAAAGTAGAGGCAAAATTCTTTGTTCACCTTTAAAAGTGACATAAAGGCTTGCAGTTCAGTAAGGTGGGTGGCATCCACCCTAATCCTAGACTGCACCAGGGCCAAAACCATGCCCAGCAAAATGCAGGCAGCCCAAGCTGCAGCAGCACGCCTGCAGGCCTAACAGCAGCTATGTCCCCTTCTACAATGCTGAATGCTGGGGTCTTCCCCTACCAGGGCAGACACGTGGCTCTGCTGGAGTTTTAACAGGAGCCTTGGTGAACAGACTGCAGGTTTCTTGCAGCAGTTAGAGAACCGAGAAAATCCCTCAGTAAGAAAGACATGGGGATTTTTAAGGAGTGAGTAAGAACTCCATAAAAGGGCAAGCACAGAAACAAGCATTTGACCTTGTGACATTATCTCCAAATAAGTAAAATTTCTCACAGATGACGTTCTCCCTCCTCACGCTGCCATCTTTGGTTCTGAATTTTGATACTTTCATTCTTTAACTCAATCAACAAATGCTGTAGTTTTTGTGGTTTGTTTTTCTAAGACAGGCAAATTATTGGAAAGATCAACAATTTACACTAGTAATTTTAACAACTTTAACTACACTAACAAAAATACACAGTAATTGATATATAATTGCAGCAGAAAGAGATTAATCTCATACTTTTGTCTCCAGAAACCATCCTGACATGGAAAGATCTGATGAACTACGACGACAAATTCAAAATTGGAGGAATAAAATAAACTGCACAGCTACGGGTGTTTCTCAACTGGTTTAGTAGCTGACACATCTACAAAAGATTGAGAAGGTTTCATTAAAGATCCTTACTCGATTCCACGGAAGCAGTATTTCCTTCTAAACTGAAAAACACTTTGAACCACTTTTTCTACCAGCTCAAACGGTTGCTGTATCTTTGGTTGCACCAATGGAGTGAAATGCACCACAGCCACATCCACCTATATGGAAAAGAAAGATAAATTTGAGTAGATATATTCCTCTCAGATACATGATTTCTAAGCTAACCGACCGGCTAGACATCAGGCAGAACATAGGAACACATTATTCTGACAGGTAACATAGCTGTGCAGTGACTAATGTCATAATATTTGAATGTAAAGATTTGGCTTAACTTTTTCAAGAATTTTAGTCTAGTTATCTACATATTTCCAATTAGTTCACACACCATTAGTACTTAGTACTTTTTCCCCATGGCACTTCCATGTAATCTGTAATGTAATTAGCACTTCTTTTTTTTCAGATCCTTCCACGAGACAATTCTGACATGATACACAAATTAGACAATATCCAATATACAGGCTGAAGGGCAGCTGGAGAAAATTGGTATTATAATTAGAAATCAAACCCATTCCCTCTATGATTTCTGTTGCTCTAGGGCTTTTCTAAAATCCAAGCCAAGGAATTACTTTTCAACACATTAAGATTTTAAAATTGTAGTCTATTTAAAGGAATGGTTGGTAGAAATAAGTTCGCATTCAGTTTAAGTGACCATACAACTCTGTATTTATACTGTGTATCACAGTTCATCCAAATTTATATTTGAACCATTTTACAAATATTTTTTCAAGCTTGTTTTATTCTTTTATAGTTCTAAAAGCAGCTTCGTTCACAGAAGAGTCCTCCTTTCAATGTACACGTATATGCATATAAAAACCACCAAATATGTCATGCAATTATAGAAATACTGTAATACAGAGAAATGCCCTGAATTCAGACTTGTATTAAAAAAATACAGGCTGGGCTAAAAATCCACTTCTGCACAACATCATTCAGCAGCTCATCTTCCAAACTAGTTATTAACAACAATTAAAATGAAAAATTTCTATGCAGGAGCACACTGGAAATTTGTACAATTTGTACAAGTACTGGTACTGAATGACAACAAAATTTTTAAGTGCCAGACTTTTAAAAATATTCAGTCTCTCATTAAAGAGGTCTGCTAATATGATGGACAATCATCCATCTTTTTAAAAGGTCTGAAAGTCAATATTGGCATTCATAGAACAAATTCTATGCGACATTAAATTGAAGACGTGCTAGTTCCGACTGAAATAAAAGATACACCTCAGGCCAAAGAACAGCTTCTGTTCTAAGCACGCTATCAGTGTGCCAATTGTTTGCAAAAATCCAAAGCAAGAGAGAACTTCAAAATAAGAGAGGTTTTTCCCTACTGCTAAGTTTGTTGCTTCTTTCCTACTGTTAAATTTCCTACCGCTAATTTAAAATCAGTTGAATCGTAGTAACCTCTGATGTGGACATATTCTTCTGGCACAAAGGTGCCATCCATCCATGTCGTACTTTCAAGGGGAACAGCTCAGCTGTCCAGTACATCTATCCAGTACAACTGCTTCAACAGCAGAGGTACTGTATTTGCTTTCAACAGAAATGATGAAATTCAAGCAACATTAAGTTTTTCATGTAGACAAAACTTACGAAGCTGAACGAAAACACTCTCCAGAGAAAGGAAAGAAAATACCGATTAACTGTGCTGATGAAAAAAAAACCACAGCAAGTTTCCAGTGTTAGCACTGCTGATCTCAAGTATATGTTACAGATAGTTTTTTCTCTACTTTTCCACCTTTACTGAAAGCCAGAGCTAAGAATAAGACAGAAAAAAAATAATTTAATTACTAGAATGTGAAGACATGAGAACTTTTTTAAAAATGAGGTGACAAAGACAACTTGACATATGGAATCTGCAGTGAAATGCACGTAAATGTATTTTCCAAAGCAGTTTCTGAATTTCTCAAGTCTTCATAGCTTCTACCTTTGCCACAGGTTGCTGCTACCTGTCAAGAAGACCACAGGAACACAGCAAAAACTTGTGTTCACACTGAGTGTCAGAAAAGTTTATCTTTTTGAACAGGACAAACACATACTTCACATGACCAACCAGCTCCTCGTACAGAAATACTAAGTACTTATTTACATGTGTATGTTTATCTACATTTTTGACAAGAAATATAACGAGGTATTTCCCTCACAAAATCAAGGAGAAGAAAACCACCAGAGACCATTTGGGATCTCCTAGTCACCTCAATTTTGCAGAACTGCTTCTAAGTGAGATATGAGGGTTCTTTGGGAGTTGTAGCTGCATCTTTAACAAAAACTTCTGAAGGAAAAGAAAAAAAGAACATAATCTAGATGCAGTGTACAGTTTGAAGAGAAAAACAGCTCAATTTGCAATCTCAAGGCCAGTGGGCAATAATTTCTGCTTCTGAAACAAAACACAGCACTTCTCAGCATTTCTTCCATTATAGACGCTGTTTTCTTTGGACCCCAGGAAAGCTGCCTGGTTACTATAGCAACAGATACAGGGGAAACCTTTTCACTTGTAATTGGCCACTCCTTTAAAATTATACATGCTATTTTTCCCTAACCTTTTTAATAGGCATAAAATTCTGAAAGCCAATAGAGTACACAAGACCACCTAAAATACACACGTTAATTTGCTGATAATTTTATTAGTAACACTTTTTTTGTCACCCCACGACGTATATTAGAAATATTCACAAAATAATAATCAACTCTTACAAAATAATGAATATGAAAATTATTCAACTGATAGATCCTGAATTGTCAATAGCACAGCAATTATTCACCCCTTGCTGATCTCCTGTATCTGTACAATGAAGGTTTATGTTCTGGTAGGGCTGGAGGAACACATGACAGCATAGAGTTTAAGTCAGGGAAGTCTGCTGCCTTGCTGATGAAATCAACACTCTAAATGAGAATAAGCTTAAATGAGAGAATTTTCACTAATTATTGACAATAAAGGTCTCATGATGGGCAATACATGTATCTTGCAACAGGACTGTATTAAAAGCAAACCCACACACCCTTTTTCAAGCTGTAATTTACTCACGGGGAACTGAAATCTAGCAGAACATATTACAACTTCATTAAAACAGACTGCTTGAGCCAGCACTTTCACCAAGTGTTCAGTACCAGCATTTTAACTGTCTACTACAGACAAATGTTAAGTCTAACACCAGATATGTGTATCTTGCAGCAATCTTGTTCCCATGCAAGGCTTTAATTTTGGTTATTTTCCAGCAGAAAATAACTGTGCCACTGCACTAATAGCAATAATCTAAGTCCTGTGTAAGAACAGCTTTGTAATAACTTAACTCCGTTCACACTAGGGTCACAAACAGGATCACAGGATACCAAAAGTCAGGTACAGAACCTATGGGTATATCAATGCTGCAATCACTAAGACTTTTCTCCTAACTTCTTGATTAAAGACACAAACTTGTCAAGGCCACTTCTCTGATGTGCATCAGTTACCATATAAGCCTTTTTAGTAGCTTTATTCCTTCATTCTTTTATACAGACTCGTACGAAGGTAACAAGTTATAGGATGACCTACAGAAGGCTGAGGCCATCAAGAAGAGATAAGCAAAACCTGTAGTTGAATAGAAATGTCCTGCTGTTCCAATTACAAATTAAAATACACTGCATACTTCTCTAAACTCTTAATAAGATTATCTGTGATGAAAAAAAACCCAAGAACCGACAAACAACAAAACCCTCTGGTTCTGGCTCTCAGTTCAACCTAAATGAATCCTATCCCTCTACCCTCCCCCCCCTCCCGCCCCCCCCAATCCATAAGTCTACAGTTTCTGGAGTCTCAAGATTTTACTTCTTTTAATCACTGTTCACAGTTTTCATCATAGAACCTGGGTTATCGTTATGTATTTAGGACTAAGGGCCTTCATGTGTTTTTCTCCATAATCTCTTTGCTTTCCCTTACTGAGTGTTTGTCAAACAAAACTCACTAAACAAAGTACTCCTTTATTCTCGGGTAGATGGAACTAAGAGAGCGAACAAACAGCAGTAATGCACTTGCTGTAGAGAAGAGAAAAAAAACAACATTCCAAGAAATTTTGTTAATACATGCCAATGCAGTTTTATATGAGAAGGGATAGTTCCATTCAAGAGAAACTGCATTTTTCCAGGACATCTACAGTGAAGAAAACATCTCAGACCTCACATCCAGCAGTAAGTGCTACACAAACAGGAATGAAACATAACTGTATCTTCTACTACAATTGCAGTGCTTATATTTGAATTTATCATGCCTTTAATTTGGTTCATCCCCTTACATGTAATGTATGAATAGCATTTGCAGTGGTTTGCGTTTATGTTTGCATGTTTGTATATGCTGAAATTTTAAAAAGGAAGCGATGAAAAAGGCTAACTCAAGATCCTAATTAGCTGTTCCAGAATATGCTTTTGAATGAGTTTTGAGCTATCCAGACATGTCAGTTCCTTCTGTAAAAGGAAGTTAAGCCATCTCTCCCGTGGGCCTGATACAGCAAACGGTACATGTTTGCCAAAGCAACTCTTCAAAGTCTGAACAAACCGAAGGGATCTGGAAATAGGCAGGTCTTTGAAGTAAGACTTTTAAAATGAGTAGCTGTTAACGTTCTCACCCTAACTACAAACACTTTATTTTTATATATATGCTGGACAGAGTTAGCACATCCTTGAACAATTACCTGAACTAAGCACAGTATATAAATTAGAGGATTACTTGTTATGTAAATGCCACTAAAGACTGATAAAATACATATTGATGAAAACCTTGTTGTCTTATATATAATGAATTGAAATAAGAGTACAATGCTACAGATATTTTGTGTTCCACTTACTTTAACTTTGTCCTCTATTGTTATGGCTTTTCAAAAAAGTATTAATGTTAAAGACCAATTTTAATATTATCATTCATATTTAGATAGAATGTCTTAGAAAGCATAACCCAGACTGAGGACCACCCTTTCTCTATCACTCTGATAAAAGATAAAACCTGCCAATTAGACAGCTCCACTCAAAAAGCAGGACACCACTTCTAATCCTCATCAGAGGTTTCAAACCATTGCTCTTCGCCTGCTATCCCAATAGTCCAGCTGATGTAACAACAACAGTTCTGTCTTCCCAAGTGCACAGTTATCATACTGCCTAAAATGTTCTCATCTGTCAAATGAAATTTGACTCTTTATGCAAGAATAGCAGGGAGGTTTTTTAATGAATTCTTAAAACTGCCACTTCATGGCAAATTTGCAAATTGTGTCAGACAGGTAAGTGACTGATTAAAAAAATGCACTTACACAACAGAGTTGTTTCGTATCAGCGTTAAAAACAGTATTTTGTCTTACAGACAAAAGCAGATCATACTCACTCTTATGACTTGCTCAATACTGCTGCTCTAAGTCAAGGACTGAGAATCACTGACTGAAAATAAAATACTGATTTAGAAAAGTCACGTGTGACTTAATTGTGAATATACTACAAAAATAAATTCAATGTTATTCTCCTTCAAAAACACGTAATTTCTTAACAGTTATGAAACAAAAGAACAGACAATATTTAAATAACTGAAATAAAGAGTTACCTCTAACCATACTTTAAATAAAAGATAATACTATCTATGTTCATTGTTATAAAATAGTCAACAGGAGCTGCCTACAGCCATCAACACACTTAAAGAAGGTACTTGAAGAATACAATATATTTTCTACCACAGCGTTTTTCCACAGTGACTTGTAATCTTCAAGTTTCTAATGTTCCATTTACAATGTATATTTGTCTAGGAAGCCTGCAATCTGTATACTATTAACAAAACCAACTCCAGTAAAATAAGTTTTTCTTGATGGCTTGCAATCATGTATGAAAGGGCAGCAGCTCCTTCTTGCAAGCAATTCTAAAATACTGTCCATTTGCCATCATTTATGTTGAAGTACCTTGTGTGCAGCTGCTCAGCTGCTCTCATCTGCTGCAGGGTGATGTTCAGATGTTCACTCAGATAGCTCTAATTTTAAATGCAAGCTTTTTTTGTTCGCTGATTTCTTTTTCTTTCCCCCTCGCACTTCTCCTCCCCTCCCCTTCTTCCCTATTACACAGAGGGCTACAGCCTTGGCTACGAAGCTACCAACCAGTTACACTCATTTACAAGAGAGAAACGGGCAGACAAAAGGTAACAGCAGATAATCATCATGGCATCAGCAAGTCTGCAGTTCTTTGCTTTTATTCTGGCTTTGTTTGGTGTTTTTGGAGATATCACAGCCACCTTGCTACCAAACTGGAAGGTAAATGCAGATGTTGGTTCAAATATCATAACAGCTATAACACAGATGCAAGGACTTTGGATGGACTGCACATGGTACAGCACTGGGATGTTTAGCTGCACCCTGAAATACTCCGTTCTCTCTCTCCCCGTCTACATCCAGGCTGCACGGACCACCATGGTACTGTCTTGTATCCTGTCAGCCTTTGGGATCTGCATCACTACAGTTGGAATGAAATGCACAAAGTTGGGAGGGGACACTGAGAGCAAAAGTCATGCTTGTTTCGCTGGAGGAGTCTGCTTCATTCTCGCAGGAATCTTTGGATTAGTACCAACATCCTGGTACACAAGAGAAATTATTTCAAATTTTCTGGACCAGACCATTCCAGAGAGCAGTAAACACGAGCCAGGAGGAGCAGTTTATACAGGATTCATTTCAGCAGGGTTTCTGCTTATCGCAGGTGTGATCTTCTGCACTTCCTGTTTTAAAAAGCAGCAAGGAGCATGGATTTACCCTCCAAAGCAGCACCATTTCCCATCCACAGAGCAGGAGAGCAACGCAGGTTACAACCTGAAGGACTATGTGTAAATAGTTATTTCTATCCATTGAGGCTTTTTTGGGGCTAAGTGTAGTCTGATTACTTCAAAGAATGTATAACATAGCACTTAACTTTTCTTATATCTGGGTTGCAGTTAAGCAAGATATTTCATTTATAGCTGTATCCACAAAAAGAATGAAGTAGGAGACAATGCTTAAGTCTGCTACGAGAGTACTTTTTCTGTTGATTTTTTCAAACTATTCTTTCTGACTTTCCAAGTAACATTTATTGAAGAAAAAGGAACTATTTTAAAACAAAACTGACAGTGCAATTAATGTACTGATGGCTTGTTACAGCAAAGATGCTTAAAACCTAACTGCTTTCTATTTAGCAAATCAGGCTATCAATAACAAAGTTTTATAGCATATTTTACATTTTAATATTTATTTTAATTATGATGCAAGGAAAAAAAACCCAAACACTCTTTGTCCAAGAAGCCCAATTCAATGTTTTTTAAATAGCAGACACATCTGCCTTTCATTTTCAATACTAAGTTGCCTTGGTAACTAGATTTCTTAAAAAAAAAAAAAGAAACAAAACCCATCAACAACAAGAACAATCAACACACACTCCACCCCCTACCCCCCCCAAACACCCAACACCAAACCAAACCAAAAAAAACACAACAAAACCCCATAGCTCCAAACCTTAGCTACATTGTATATTCTGCATATCAGGCTGAAGAATCAGCAGTACCATTCAGATCTTGCCAAAAATGGCTCTCCCGCCCCAAACTGCCACCTGCTGTGGGTTTCATTTATTATTGTTAAAGACATGTC